CCGTTTTAGGGGGGCGTGGCAGAGTCTTAACTTTGATAAAGAATATCTCTTTGGTTTTGAGACTTTAGTCTTTGCAACTTCAGGGATCTTATCTATTCACGAACAGCTCGTAACACTCCACAGAGAAAGGAAAACTTGAAATCGCATCATATGACCCCTTTAATGTTTCCCGGGATCGTTCTCAGATGTTTGGCTAACGTTCTGGCAAGGTTTTCTAAGTTATGAACAAACATTCTTCCAGTAAAGTTAATAGAATACTTGTTCAACGTTATCTGGCTATTAATAAAATAAAATAAAACATTGTTAACATCAGCACACACACACAAAAAACGTATTTATACATTGTTGAAAGAACACTTTTTTTCGGAGCCGTTTTAGCTGGATGTCCATTTAACGTGTTACTTACTTCCTGTTTTCTGTTCAGAGAACATTTAAAAGAAAAAAAAAAACAGCCTATACTGGTTGGCTGGTCCTAGATGGTTTAAGCTGGTCTCCCAGCCTGACCAGCTAAAGAAAACCAGCCTGCAAACCAGCTATGACCAGCTAAAACCAGCCAACCCATAATGTTTGCAAACTCATAAAAATGTAAAAAGTTTCATATAACCAAGAATAATTTTTTTAATTAAAAAATTTTGCACATTCAAAAAAACAAAAACAAAAAAAGTTTTACAGCATTATAGCATTATGTCCAAAAATATACAGTAGTAGGCTACCATGTTTCTTTTAGTTTAATTAGATGGCAGTCCATTTTTTCATACACTGCATTAACATACCTTGATTTTCAAGATATACCTTGCAAATGTAGGAATTTTTCTGTGAGCTTTTGAAGCGTTTGCAAGAATATTATATTTAACTTGATATTTTAAAAGTCGCTTCAAACACTATATAATGACGTAAAAGAAAAAAGAAACTATTCTCAGTGGCAGGGCGATAAACACAGATTAAAGTCATTAGAGTTGATTACATTTTAAAACAAGCGCTCGGATTAACATCCTGCCCACGTCACAATGCAAAACCTGCTGGGCGCGCGCTGATTGGACGCTGCCTGCCGGAAAGAATACATGCGAACCGAGCGGATCAGTGTCCTGGATTCCGAACCGAACCGAACCGAACCCGAGCCCGGGCTTCTCGAGGCGGATCTGCGTGGAAGATGGCGGAGTTGAGCGCAGTCCGAGAGGAACTTGTGAGTATTTTCATTCTGGGGACTGGAAGCCGTGTGTCCTGCTTCACACACACGGAAACAAGTTTGACTAGAGAATACGCACGTATTTATGTTTTAAAGGAATAGTATACCAAAAATTAATAGCCATCATTTATTTACCCTCGTGTCCTTCCAGTCCACGCATGTGTATATATACCTACTTACTCCTGTGATACACGAAAGGTGATGTTTAGCAGAACGTTAACAATTCTTTTACAATGGAAGTGAATGGGGACTGGAGCTGTCAAGCTCCAAACATGGCAAAAAAAGAGAAAGAAAGTAGGTTGCGTACGACTCACGCGCTATATTGTCTTATGAAGCGACACAGTAGTTTTGTGTGAGGAACAAATTTGGTGCATAAACAGTTTGTTTTCAGTTATGGCAAATGTCATGGGTTCTTGGATGTCTTTATATTTACCTGACTTTAAATATGCATAAGCGTACTGAGATTTGAGAGCACAGATTTTCAATGAGCAATGATTTAGAGTCAAAAGACTTGGGATATAGTTGATATGGGGTACTGTTAGGATCTTTTTATGGTGCTTTTTGTCCTCCGGGGGCTTGATAGCTCCAGTCTCCATTCACTTTCATTATATGTCTTTCCAAACCTATATAAATGTACTGAACTTACTTTCTGTGGAACACAAGAAGAGGTGTTTTGGAGAAGGTTGACACCTCTCTTGCAATGGAAGTGAATAGGGACCGTAGCTGTCAAGCTCCAAGCATGACAAAAAAGTGGTGCGTACGACTGATGTGCTATATTGAAATTATATTATGAAGCCACACAGTAATTGTATGCGAGGAACGAATTCGGTGCATATACACAAGTTCGTTTTCAGTTATGTCAATTGTCATTGGTCGTTAGATGTCTTGATAGTCTCCTGCCGACTGGACAAATAGTCCAACAGCATGGACACATTTTCAATGAACAATGGTTTAAATTCAGAAGACTTGGAATATAGTTAATATGGGGTACTTTTGCAATATTTTTGGTGCTTTTTGTCCTTTGGGGGCTTGACAGCTCCAGACCCAAAATCAGCTTGGATATTGTGCATTTGTATGTTCTCTGTATCATTACAATTTAGCTGGATATTTGTATGTGAATCAGTGTTTATCATATCAATACGTGTAATTTGCATGCTTTTTGCACAAACGGCTGCCTCCTCACTTCCTGGGTGTGCTTTATCCGCTGCAGAGAAACAGAAATCTGAGCAGTTCTTTCGGGGAGCCTCTGTGTACGTCACCACAAAAAGATGAGCAACAGAAACTGGTAATGACCTGACAGACTGGGTTTTGTTTGTATGTGCATGTTGTTTTGTCTCATGACGCTGTGCTGTGTTTGACAGGCCGTGCCGTTCTGTGGCGGCATCCGGGGAGGAATGAGGCCGGGGAAGAAAATCACGATCATGGGCGTCGTGAACGCAGATCCGGACAGGTAGCTTATGTCACACACACACACACACCTGTAAGTGCTCACACACGTGCGGGACACAGCCTGAGAGACACAGCTGTCATGTGCTTCATCGTATCTGTATAACTTGAGCGATCAAAGCTTCTAGCTAGTTAACTAGGAATGAGGTTTGACAGAAAAGCAGCGTCTAGACGATGACCTCCTGTATTCTGTTGTTTCGGTTCATTCAGTTGCTAGGGTTCATTGCTGACTCAATGTTGAATGTTTCTGCTCTCTCTCTCTCTCGGGCAGTTTTGACATCAGTCTGACGTGCGGCTGCGGGGACGTCGCTCTGGATATGTGCGTACAGTTCGAAGACCGGGAGATTTTGCGAAACGCCTGCGTTTCTGATAGCTGGGGCGAGGAGGAGAGGTCAATACCCTACTTCCCCTTCATCGCAGAGCAGCCTTTCAGGGTCAGTGTCTTCATCACCATCATCTGAACTCAGCTGAATGAAGTCATATGTTGTGTAGGGATACGCACTTGCAAAACTGAATGGTTGGCTGTCTACTACTAAATAGTTGACTTGTTGGAGATAATAAGGGCTTGTTAAACCTATAAACCCTGACATATGTAAAAATCTTTTTATTTGATGCAACATTTAAAAGTTTGCATGCGTTTTTTGTTGAATATCATATTTGATACATCAGGCTTTTATGGCTCATATAGTATGATATAGGGAAAATATTGAGTAAAAGGGCCCAAACTAAGGAAAAATGTGCAATTTGGTGCAGTTCTTGATGTTTATAAGGACAAAAAGTAATATAAAATTCGGATAGCTTGTAATGTAAATCAATGAGATCTTTATAACAGTATAGCAGATACTTACAAAAAAATGATACAAGTATCTTTGTCACTCTATATCTCCAATAATGTGTCTTGCTTAGTTTTATGATCAAAGCTCTTTAGTTTTGAAACATATAACTCAATGCATTGCATTGATGATTGAGAGATAAACAAATAAACGTTCCTCAAAAGCCTGATGATCATATTTGATACTGACTTGGGGGACGTTTTTACAATCACACTAAAAGGCATTTTACTTGCTTAAAAAGTCTTTGCGTATCAAATATGATATAGTCGGCTTTATAGGTTTATTTTAGGCTGGTTTAGGGCCATGCCAACTGAACACCACTGTGCAACGTCTTGAATGCAATGTTGATTCATTTAAATAGAAGCGTCTGCCAATTGCTTAAATGTAAATCTATAGAGTGACTTGTGAATATTCAACAAATAAACAGGCAAAATAACCATTTATGTCACATGGTCCTTACAAAACAGCCGGAACACACATATTAGACAGGAGCATGAACATGCAATGTGAAGTTGTAGCTGAATTAATTTGCCGAGTCTCCTCTTCTAATGGCGTTTGTTTTCTCTCTGTGTTGTTGTTCAGGTTGAGATCCATTGTGAGCACCCGCGCTTCCGTGTGCTGGTGGACGGCCATCAGCTCATTGACTTCTACCACCGCGTGACGCCGCTGGAGGCCATCGACACCATACAGATCAGCGGCAGTCTGACCATCACCAAGCTCAACTGACGTCTGCTGCGTCACATGAAAGCAGCTTCCCCACCAGCCCATCCGTTCTGAGCATTAAAGACTGTCTGCGATACCGAAGGACGCTTCAGAATCATCTAGAACTCAACTTGAAACCGCATTTTGAGCTATAAGAAGGCATTTATTTTTATGAGCATCAAAATTCGCTGTAGGCAACACCATTTGCAACCCATTGATTTTGTTTTTTGAGTGCAACAGGATATTAAAATAGAAAAAACGTAGAGTGGCGTTGATTTCCTTCCATCAGGATTACGAAAAGTGTGTGTTCAGTACTAGAAGATTGGCTAAATAACTATGTGGCTGTTGGTTAAGTGACGTATTTTTGTAGTCCAACCCATAAGTTTGCAATGCATCATTCTGGTACTTTGACAAAAACCCAATAGGATTTTTCCATTGGCTTTTGGATTATTGCAGAAAATAAGCTCTGTGACCTACAAATGTTTATGATTTTTTACACGTTTTGTTCATTATGATAAATTTTGAATTCTAAATACAATCGTGTGACTTCAACATCACCATCACTAAGATTCATACAGCTCTTTCAGTCTTTCTATAAAAACATTTCCCTGAAAGTTTGAGTTGGAACAGTTCACGAGAGCACAATGAGGCTGTGAAAGCGACTAGTGAGTAGACGAGTTACCTGGTTGGCTTGATGACATTTAAGTCCCTGACAGCCTTTGTAGCCCATTGAGCCACTTGTTAGCAACCGCATTAAAACGTGAACATATCCTGAGCTTGTGTTCAACACAGATCTTATTTTAGGCATTTAACCAAAAACCCATTCAAAAAAAGAAAGAAAATGAACCAAATTGGCTTACAAAAATACGTCATCCCTGCAGCACTCTCGTAAGTGACAGCAGTAGAGCAATGAGACAAAATATTAAACATACCATTAAGTCAATCACAATAAGACCAAGAGCATGCATTCAGAAAGCAAAAACGGTCCGTTTGGATTTCATGTCGACTTTACGGCGTTAAAGTGGAGATTGGAGAAATGTAAGATGAATGTTGCCGTCAATAGTGATAAAACTGAGTTCAGATACAGATGCTGAACTAACAACAGAGCGCTTGAAAGCATACAGCTTCAGTCAATAGCTATTTATGAACGTACTGCCAGAATTTATTAATTTATTTTAAGGTTCATTTACTTCCTAAATACGCGTTTATAAACTAAACGGTGCTGTGAGAGTTGCAGCAATAGTGATCTTTCCATTGTAATTCCATTGACAAGCACCTAAACATACTTAAAAGCAATGCATTTTATGATTAGCTGTGTTAACGAGATGATGTGATGAACCGCTGATGATACTTGATACTTGAGACCAGCATAAAATCAGGGAGAACATCATTGCATTCCAGTGCTTTTTGTGTATTTATTGTCTCTGAGCACACGGTGTGTCTTGATTGTACACACATTTTTCCTGATTAATAAAGGCTTCTAATGAATGATATTGTATTGTCAGTGGTGATGGCTGATTGCAGCAGGGCCACACACACTATTGACCAATATAGTATAACATGTTCTTAAGTTTAGTTATGCTGAGGTTTGGTTTTTGGTATATACAGAAAGATATTTCAAACATGCAACTGACTGGTGTAATGCTTTCCTGTTACTTGAAACTTTCTCCTCCATTCTGGATGGTTTTAATTTTGTGCTTGTGGTCTTCCTGCGTATTGCCTTCGGTTTTCCTGTTGGCTTTCTTATCTCTGCTCTGCTTCCTGATGATTACGTCTATTATAGTAGAGCTGTTTCTTAATTGTACTGCATGTTACAGACTAACAATAGATAGATAGAAATAACAAATAAATAATACAAATAACAACACAGTTCTATAGAAAGTATAAAACAACAATGTAAGCTTAATTCAACTTAATTCATATTTATAATATATAAATGGGGTCTTTAGGCAAAGCAGTGCAAAATTAAAATAGATTTTGGAAAGTAGATTAAAACAATAAATAAAGAGATTAAATAATAAATAGTAGAATAAAATGAGATAAAATAAGAACTGAATAAAACAAATAAATTAACTACCTAACTAAAATAAAATAAAAAAATAGATGTAAAAATGACATTAAAATAAACAAATAAATAATACATGGAACAGTAAAGTACTATGCTAATAGTAAAACTTTTTTTTTTAAAATTTTAATAGAAACTTGATATTGTCCAGATTAAATTCAATTTTATAATGTTATCTTTTCACAGTGTAAATGGGGTCTTTAGGCAAAGCAGTGTAAAATTTAAATAGATTTTTAAAAGTAGATTAAAACAATAAATAGAGATTAATAAATAGTAGAATAAAATTAGATTAAAATCAATTAAAAAATAAGTAGAATTGAATCAAACAAATAAATGAACTAAAAGAAAAATAGATTAAAAGAAATATATGTAAAAATGACATTAAAATAAACAAATAGATAATACATGGAACAGTAAAGTACTATATGCTAATAGTAAAAAACTTAATCTATTTTAATAGAAATGTTCCAGATTAAATTTGATTTTATAATGTTATCTTTTCGCAGTAGAAATGGGGTCTTTAGGCAAAGCAGTGTAAAAATTAAATAAAATGAATAAATAAATAAAAAGTAAGATGAATTAATTTAATATGAATTAAAAAGAATAAATTACTCAATAACTGACAAAAAAAAAAAAAAAAAAAAAAAAGCATATACATTTAAAAATGCCATTAATATATTAATATTTTTTATAGCACATAGAATAGTACAGTAGTATAGTGAGTAGAAAAATGATCAATTTTACACATCTTTATAATATTATTTTCTCACAGTAGACACTGCGTCTTTGTGAATAAAGATACGTAGCAGCCTTTTTGCTCACATGAGGCTGATCATATCTGAGTGCTGGGTTTAGTTTAGTTGGCCTCACCCAATCAGCATGAGAGTCCAGAAGTGCCACACCAGCGCAGGATGCATGCTGGGTAATAATCGGAAAAAGACTCGCGCAGGATCCGCTCGCTCACACACACACACACACACACAGACGGACAGCGAGAGCGGGATCTCACCGGCGCCGTGCCGTGCCGTTGTGTCCGGGAGATGCTCCAGATGGTCGCCGCCGGTGCGCGGGATGCGCTCGTGAGGATGCGACACATCACCCCGGACTCGTGAGGTAAGATGAGGACTGACAGCTGCGCGACTGCTAGCCGTTAGCCGTTAGCATCGCCCGTGTTAATCAATGGGTTCTGAAGCTACGCTGAGCTCGGATGCTAACAGGTCGAGTTTGCTCTTCTGAATCACTCGTGAAACACTAACACGACTCTTATGGCAACTGCATGTCATTGTTTAGACAGAAGCAGCTCAGCTTGACTGATTAAAACACCGTATTTTATGCTGTCGGGTGTAATTGCACTGCTGTGGTCAGGCTAACGGCTAGCAGCTAGCCGTGATGTAAACATTCCCAAAACCGATTTGATTTTGTCCGAATGACTAAATGTCAGTAATTCAATTTAATCCAGATTTAATCTAGGATAAGCATAGTTTAGGCTAAACTAATCTCCTCGTCAGGTTTATATAGTTATAACGAGTAGTTGGATTAGTTTATGTGCTGAAGGCCTGGTGTTTCTTAACAGCTGTGATATTAAAATAAGATAATTGATTTAATAACTTTACTCCTAAAGTGTGTCTTATGCATTTAAATACTGTCATTTAGTTTAGAAACAATGCTGCTTATGTACCCCAGATGAGTTATGTTACTACATAACAGTTTTGATATGAGTAATATGAATATTTAATTATTATATTATATTATTATAATTATATTTAATATGATATTTACATATGTAGTGTGTCCTCCTCATAAGAAAATAAGAGTATCACATTTTTAATTCACAATAACATAAACGAAAAGAGTAAAATAATTACATTTTTGTGTTTAAGATAAAATAGTTCTGTGTTTGTGCTAGATTATAGAAATCTCGGGTCGTTAAAATGGTGCAGATTGTAGTTTAGCACAATTTTAATCGTCCTGTTTTTAAAAGGAGCAGTTTTATAACAATCATAAAATAATACACAGTTATGATTGTTTATATCAGCTGTTTATATCCCTTTTAAAAGGTTTTATTCTTGTAGGAAAGTTGAGCATTACTGTCAATCCGATCTAATTTATGAAGTTGTGTATTGCGTGACACATTTTTAATTCACAGTAAAATAAATCGGTAAATAAGTAATTTGGAAATCTGTTTATGCTTTCTGATAGCAAAATTGTTTTGTATTTGTGCTATAAGATGTAGTGCTGGGCGGTATGACCAAAAATTGATATCACGGTATTTTTCAAAATTACACCGGTTTCACGGTACATGACGGTGTATTTTTTTTCATGCATGACTGGGTGTTAACCATATTTTCTACGGATTGAGAGGAAATACTGCAACATATTGACTTAGAATGCCCTATATTACTGTCATGATGAGTGAATATTGTTAAAAAATACCACACTAAACAGTGACTAAACACGACCCCTTTTAATACGTGTTAACCAGGAGTCACTCAATCGCGGCATCGTCTGATAAAATCAACATGCATCTACACTAAAGATGTGTTATACAACATGCGTCTACACTATGCGGTTGTTTTGGCTAGATTACTTTTTTGTCTCATGCAGCGCACTGCCTGCGTCTGAGTAACAAACTAAAAAAAACAACAAACAAAAAAGTGCATGTGATATTAACAGACGAACTACGCTCATATTTATAATTCCAAACAATCAGTAAGCGACAGGTGCTTGGAAACGCTGTTTTGTACTCATTTATTGACGAGTCGGCTGCGGTGCTTCTCTGCCGCTCACTGCACAGAACAGACGCCGAGAGAGGCGACACTTCTCCGGGAAAGTCAGACCTCGCGTTCGCGGGACAGCACTGGAGAAATCTTCCAGCTGAACCATAGATAAGGTTTATCCAAAAAAGTCGCTAGGTTTGTCAGTATGAATATTCTATGGAAGAAAGCCGCTAAAAGGGTCTGAAAGTTGCTAAATCTAGTGCTAAAGTCGCGCTCGTGTGTGTGTGTGTGTGTGTGTGAGACGCGGGAGCTGATGGCAGGGGGCGGTGGATATTTGTGGAGGCCGATGTGGATATTGTGGATGAGTTCTTCTGTGTCATCACGTTCTATTACTTCTACAGCTTCAGTTTCTGAACTTTCACGCTTAGTAACACATACAGCTGTTCGCTCACCACAGTGCAACAGTGAAAAAGGACCCCTTTCAAACAGTGTCACGTTCCCAGCGTTGTTTAAGTGACATACTTAAATACCGTATTGCGGTATTTTCAAAATTCATATCATAACAAAAATATAAACCGGTATTCGGTATGAACCGGTATACCACCCAGCACTAATAAGATGTCAGTAAGACATAGGTCACTTAAGCGGTGTGAAGGTTAATTGTGGTTTGGCAAAGATCTTGCTGTTTTCACAAGTGTCACTGTCATTGTGTGACCCTGCTTTGAGCAAACAGCACTGCCGAAGCTCCCAGCGCGATACAATAGACCATTTAAAAGCCCTGTTTTATTTGTTTTGAGCTTGTGCTCTCCTTTGCAAATTATTGCATTCAATCAGTGTCTGAATTCTTGTGGTTTATTCCCGGCGATGACTTTCCAGATTGATCTGGTTTCCCTGCTCCACTTAAGTCACCACTTCTCACATTAGCACTTAATTAGCGTCCGATTTGAAGGCAGTCTGTCTTGTTTTCCCTCTCGTGATTTGATTTGAGTTGGACAACAAGAACCTGTTCCTCTAATAGGCCCTTGAGCACTATCGTAATGAGCGCTGCTGC